TAATTTTTTCCTTTAAGGATTAGAAATTTTGCTTTGGTATTTGTTGAAGGAAAAAGTTGCTTTTGGTCATTTTACTAAATCTTAAAAATTATTTTTATCATATTTTTTGGCACTGGATTATTGCGGAAAAGTGAAATTAAAGGACGAAGCATTACTGAAGATGGTTGTTTTTGAAAAAGCTGGTACACTTTTCAAATGCAGACGTGCAGTTATTTTATAGAAAGAAACAAACAAGCAAATTATGGCATCAGTTAAAGCAGCAAAGCTCAAACAGGCTTAAGGAAGCGATTTTTCATGCCATACAGTGGTTCTGCAGAAGGCAGCTTTATTCGCTAGCGTTATGTAAAGACAATTTAATTTCCAGTATTTTTCCATCTCGCTGTTAACACTTCGCCTGTAACGGCTTCTGGAGTTTTTAGTACAGTGTACAATAAAGTGATCGACTTTGTTCTAGACTGACGAGAAAAAAAAATAAATTAGAACAGAAAAGTTTAGGGTTGTTTAGTGATTTTCTGTTTAAATGAATCCACAAAGATTTCTAAGAAAAGTATAAATTTACAAGGTCTTCAATTCTAGTAGACCGGACATCAAGTCTGTTGTACCAGTGTGAAGTGGAATGATCTGAAAATTTCAAGATGTTCACGTTTCCAGTCATATTCTTCAAAATATAAGACTCGCGACTGTTTAACTGCTTTATCTTACAAGCATTAGACTTTGAAGTGATTTTTTGTCATTTCGCATTTTACCGTTGCTTTTCTTCACTAAATTTCTTAGAAGTGAATGTATGGCATTGCTGTAGGCGAAGCGAGAATTGTGTCTACTTTACTAGTGGTACACTAACGTAAAATATTTGTATCGAAAAGTCAGAGAAACTCAATTGTGAGATTTAGAAGACTTGTAAAGTAGATATGTCCAGGTTTTTATTTGATAGTTTAATTTTAATTTAGTTCACATGGTCTTTCTCTTTGGATAACTCAGTGTATTGGACATGACCAAGAAGAATGTAGAGCTGATACCGGCAACTTAAATAGCGACCTGAGCAGTTGCTAGCATTCGTTATGAAATAATTAGGTCGCTTAGTCAATAATTCTGATCTTTCTTGTTTTTGGTTTTGGCAGAATTTTTAATTTTTAACACTATTTACTATAGTCTTTCTTAGTTAGTTAGAGAGAATTTTTGTTCTTTTAGCTCTGTCTAACTTTGCAGTTTCTCTGATACAGTTTTTTTGTTATCACTAGGTGTGATTCCTTGTTTTGAGACTCCAAAAAACAGACCGGTTATTTTGGGGGCTCTAGAAATATTAATGATGGTTTAATCACAAGCTGCTTTGTTTAATGAAAAAATTTTTGTGGCATTTAAATATTTTATGACACTTTGACTTCGTATCATTGGGGAGAAAGTCAGATGGATTTGGAGATTTGCAAAAAATTGACTGAAATAGAATTAAAAATTTTGGAGTGAAAATTGGGAGTTTGATTAAACTTGTGGAAAATCTTGCTGCACTAGTCAGATGGAGGAATGAAGTTGGTAGAAGACTGAAGTTCTATTTATTTTTAATAAGAGATAAAAGTGCTTTTGTTTTTGTTATCGGTTTTCATCATAAATTTATTTCCTGCAAAGCGTGTGTCTGAAAAGTAAAAATTTTTTTTTTTGAATTTCAGTTGTTTTCGCAGCAAGAATGAGAGATTTAATTACGAGATTGTTAGTGAGGCATGAACGAGGTATTGCGTTTTATAAGTCACTTCTTTCTTGAAAAAATAATTTGTGGCAGTTGTTGGATATTTTTCGGCAGATGCAGTATTTTACCATCTTTTCAATTGTTCAAAGGTAATAATGGCACACTTACTGAAGAGAGTTTCATGAACTGGTTTAACAACAGCAATAAGACAATCAGTGTGGGTAAATAGCAAATTGAATAAGTGGTGTAATCCGATAACATGCTAAACGCAGCAAATACTTTGAAATGCGCAGTTTATCTACTTGTGTGAAAATTTTTATAATTGTCTACTGTCTTGGTTTACCAGTTCTAGACACACGTTTGCTGAGGTATTTTGGCTTTTTTTAGTCATGGTTTAAGAGAAGAGAAGTGTAACTTAGAAAATAAGTTTTATTTGTGAAGCTATAACGATTTGGTCGTTGCAGAATCAGAATTTGAACTATGTTATAGTTGTTCAGTTTTTGGGATGCGTTAGGGAGGATCATTTATGATAACTTAGTGGGCCTCTCAGTGGCTCCTGATTGATAGAACCAAGCCTTACAGGACTAACCATTTTAAACTTAGACTTGGACTGTATATTTCATAAGTGAAGTTTGAATATGAGGTAGAAACGGTGGAGATGCTTATCATAAATGGTTGTTCACCGTTTTTGCTATTAAGTCACTAAAGTGTGTTGTTGATGGGGAATTTTTCAGCGATAAGGAGTTGTAGTCGTATTCGTTACAGTTTCTATTTACAACCCTTACATATGTGGTCTTAGTTAGTTTGTTTTTCTGTTCTTTTTTCTTTCGTGCAACTGTGACAAATCTTACACTTATTTTTCTTGTTAATTTTACTTAATTCTTTACTTGTGAGTATCTTTTTTCTTCGTGGAAATTTAACTTTTTGTGTTACCAAGCTGGAAGCATTTTTCTGAGGCTTCTGGGAGTAGTAGCATAGAGTGGCTAGTGAGTAATTCGGAGTACAAGAAAATGGTTAGATGTAGGATGACGGGTGTTACTTGTTTCCTAGTGAGACCAAATACAAGAAAAAAAAGTCAAACAGTAGGTAGATTTGGTTGTAATTGAATAGTTATCTTGCATTTATTGCACTTGTACCAAAATCAGCTGCTTTGAATAAATTTAATCTATAACTATTTTGTATCTTGTTTCTAAAAGCAAAAATTGAGAAATATTTCAAGGCCATTCAATAGCTGTGCATTTTACCCAAAATTAGTATGCTTTGTATAGTCCAAAATAAAAGAATATAGGAAAGAAAATAGGCGTGAAAGAATCCGGAAAAAAGGACAAGAAAGTACCAATATTTTGGTTTTTTTAGCATGTAGAACGAACTGAGTTTTTTGTTAGAAAATTTTTCATAAAGTAGTTTTTGTACTTTGTTTCAAGAAACGGACATTTTGAAACTGTTATTGGCGGATAATTTTCTGTTTGCAAATTAAGAATTCTTGGTACGAAATATTAACACATTTTAAGGTATTTGTTAGAAATGAAAAGATTTTTGTTATCATTTTTTCACTTTTGCATAGATCAGCAGAGTAAAGTGCTAAGTATATTATTAGAAGGAACTATTTTTTATTTGATCAACGGCAGCGTGAGTGGCAGTATTTGTGGAGAGGAGGATGTTAGTCCAGTGCTGAAGCCTGAATATAATTTACAGTCCTGTAAATTTTTTCCGCTTTTTTTTTGTAGTAGAGTTGCTATTGGATTAGTCGAAACTGCTTAGCAATTTTTAAGATGAATATCAAAATTAGAGTTTAGTTTGGATTTAACACGTTCGGGAGGATTAGTTTTTGGAAACAAAGAGAAGAAGGACGTACTCATGTTAACTGAGTGTCCGTCAAACAAATTGTTGAATTGTTAATTGATAGTGGTTGTCATTCCTGTTAGACTGTTGAAGAACAAATCGGGTTACAGAAACGTGACAGTTTTAAACTTGAGCCAGTAAGGTCGATAAAATTTTTAGTATATGCATTATTTGTTGATGATTTAAAATGGTTTTGTTTAAATTTTTTGATAGGGCAAACGTTTAGTGGAGCAGTGGTTGATATTGTCTAAAATTGCCTATGCACCTAGTAACCTAAATGGTTGTCTTTTGTTTATTTTTTATATTTTTTTTGGAACACTTTTACGAATTTTGCCACCCAAACGGCAACACTTTTAGCCCTATTAAAAGTAATCAAATTTTTCTCCTGTTTTCTTTCTTGCTCACCGATATTTGAATCAAGATAGTAAAAATTTTTGAAATTTTTCATTTTTTTTGTTTGAAAAAGTTGTTAAGTGATGACAGAAAGAAGCTTGTTTGATGTTAGCTAAGTTGTACAACGAATTCATCTGTTGGTAAACCACTGGAAAAGAAGAAGTTTTTGTCATCAATAGACGGTGAAGCTTACTGAAAGTCAAAGAATATTCAAAACAAACAAACAAACAAGCAAAAAAAAAATTTTTTTTCTTGTCGATAATCAGTAATTCTGATTGTAACTGTTTATGTAATATAAGATGCATTCACGATTTTTTCACAATCACTTTGTAGAATTACTTTTAAAAATTAATTGAATTTACTGGTAAAATTTTGCTGTTTTACCAGAAGTAAGGGAAAAATAGATAGTTAATAGTTTACCTTTTTTTGCCAACTTTTTTTTTAAACAAACAATTTTGATAATTGTGTGAATAAAATTCTTCTCTACATATGTTATCTGCTATTTTCTCTTTTCTCAATGATATACAGACACCATTTGAAGCTTTCAGATAAAAATAATTTCAGTGCTGTACTTTTTAGTTTACTTCCACCTTACTTACTTAGTCCTATTTTAGACCAAATGATATAGTTCAAAAATGCGCTTGATGAACAGTTAGTCCTTAATTAAGTAAGGAACTTCTTGTTTCTCCTGCCTTTTAACTTACATTTTCTGTATTGGATGACTATATATATAGTCATCCAATACGCAAAATACAAGTTAAAAAACAAGAATTGCGACTTCTATTTTATTTCAACTTCTGTTAAGCGTTAACAGATTGCAATTTTAGGAAAAGTTCTTTGCAGATTAGCTTACTGGATTTTGACTTACGGCTGACTTCTAGGGAAGTGTTTGACTGGCTCATAATTCTAATAAGTGGCAACCTGTTACTTTATTTGGTGTCTCCTGTAGCAGACTGTTTTCAGTTTTTTTTTGTCAAATAAACAAGCAAAAAAAAAAAAAAAAACGAAAAAAAAAGAGCAAATAAGGAACAGAAATTGGCCTTTTTCAAAATGAATGTCAACAGCAAAAATGTTGCATGCAGTAGTAACCGAAAATGAGAAACTAGAACAAATGCCTAAATGTGTGTATCTTTTTGCGGTTTCTTCTTTTTCAGTTTAGTTTGTTTGTGGAAGGAAAAAAAATTTGGCAAATAAGTGGAATAATTGCTGTAAAAGATGACGAATAGAGCGCAAAAAATTATGTTGAACATTTTTTTTTATTGGAACTAAAGAAAAAAAGAAACCTGAAAGGGAAGCAAAGATTCTCGCATTGTTTTTGTTTGTTTTTCGTTTAAGATTCTGACCAAGTTTAGTGGAACAAAGTATTTTACTCCAATCGGAATTGTAATGCAAAGAGAAAAAAAAAAAGAGGAAGAAGAAAATTGGTTTTGCAATTATCCTTTAATGAGCGATATTCAACAATTTGAACGAGCGATTAGTAGGAAAAATTTGAAGAGAAAGGAGGAATAGAAATAATTTTTTTATCTTTAATCTCTGTGAACATCAACCATCTTTAAATAGATTTTTTACAAAAGTTTTTATAATTTTTTCCGACAATATTGTTGGTAACTTATAGCGCTGTAAATATAAGTTAACTGTACATCTAGTTTATTATCATTCTGAATGGAAATAAAATACAACGATGACATAGATTTTAATGTTCAATCAAAATAAGACTATTTATTTGTAATTATTTCTTGGTT